GTGGGGGATGGGTAGCGTGGGGGGGGGGTGTGTGAAGGGAGGGGTGGGGGATGGATGAATGGGAAGGTGGGTGGGTGGAAAGTAAGGTGGAGGGTGGAGGGTAGGGTGGGTGGAATGACAAATGGGACCCTGTTTGTTTTGATGTCTCTTTCCCATGAAGGGCCTCCTTCAGAGGCACAGGAATCCTGGACCATCTGTATTTAGGAGGGAGGTACTAAAAGCCCCCTGGGGCTCTTTCCGTGTGTTTTGGCCTTGTTGACTGGAGGCCATTGTACAGGAGGTGCGGGGGTGGGGGGAAGGGGGCCTCCCCAGGTATCAGCGCCTGTGGGCCTTTCCCCTTGGGTGGGTCGCTGAGCCCAGAGAGTACCCTCTCCTTTTCCTGATCTCCAAGCCCTCCTGTGTCTGCGAGCCTGGGACTTGGCCCCCGGCTGCCTTTCACTGCGAAGTCTCCTCTGCCCATCTCTCTGCTTTGTGGTTTGTACCTTTTTCTCCCTTCACCATCCCTTTCCTGGGAGGAACTAGAGGGAAACATGTGTGTTCGATTCCCCATGTTTAACCAGAAAACCGCCTCCTTTCTCGTTGATCCTTTGTGAAGTCCTGCCCCGTCCCCGAGTCAGACAACTGTATACATTCTTCTGGTTGTTTTAAAGTTACAGTGTTTACGCCTCAGTCTTTAATCTCTTTTATGTATCGGGGTTCCTGACAAGGTTTTATTGGGGGAGGAAGAGTTCTGTTCCTAAAAAAGGCTTATAAACCACTGACTGGGCCCAGCCCAGGGTAGATGGGGAGGGAGATGAGGGTGAGGGGAACACTGTCAGCCCACATAAAGCCAGGTAGGGCTGGTGAGCAGAAAGTGGGGGCTGTCAGCACCCCTGGCCCCAAGGCTGGGCGCCCCTGGGGAGGACACGGCCTGAATCACCTGTTCCCATGGTCCTAACACCCTGGTGTCTCCTCACATCTCTCACAGAGCACTCATTCTTTTAAAATAGGGACATTTACAAGGTGGTTTGCATTCAGCGACAGAGATGGGGGACAGACAAGGTTGATGATGGGGGGCCGGGGGCCTCGCTGTGGCCAAGGGGGCCTCTGAACACCAAGTGGGACCTGCCGAGTTACCCTAATACCTCTCGTGTGTCTGTTTAACCAGAATGGGGTTCCTGTAGGGTCAGGCTTTGAACTGAGGGAGGAATCTGAGCATCTCTTGACTTCTAGAGCAATAAAAGCTCCTTAGAACAGCTTTGAACCATCTATTTCCTCATTAAAGAGCTCTGGGTCTCTGGGGGAGACAGACATAAATAGATGATTACAGCCCAGGGAGATGTATGCCTGGGAGGTTAACAGTTACTGGTCTCCTAATTGGCCTTCCGGCTCCCAGGCCCTCCCACTCCCACCCATGGGACACTTCCGCTGCCAGAGTGAGCTTTTAAAAATGCAAATCTGACCTTGGCTTTCACCCCTTTCAACAGCAGCCCATTGGCCTCAGGATACTGCCAAGCTCTTCCCCCCAGGCCTCCTGTGTCAGGGCCCAGCCCACTGCTCCAGCCCTGGTGGCCCGCAGGTGCGCTCGGATAGGCCAGGCTGCTGGCAGACGCTCCCCTGTTCTGTTCTCCTTGGGGCCTCAGCCCTTATTCTTCCTTCTGCTGAAC